AAAAGAGTAGATAAAAAAAAGGAAAAAACCAGTCCAGTTTCGAAATATAGGATCATCAGCAATAAGAAAAAAAATATTACTTTGACATTCCCGTTTAAAATCGCCGCTTATTCACTTCTGTCAAAAAACGTTTACAGATTCTTTCTTTCCCTTAGGGGTGTCCTCTCAAATCTTTAAATAAAGAAAAGTTCTCACCAAACCGGCACACTTTCTCTTTCGTTCTCTTTCATTTCGGAGCTGTCCCAACTTCAGCAGCTTTAATGGCTGCCTCTTTGCCTCTGGCAAAAAGAGCTTCTCCTGGATCTACCAGGGATTTTGCGATATCCCTGGGATCAACAGGATGCGCTCTTTACATTCACCGTATCTACGGGACGGTTTAGATCAACTTGGACCGTCCAGGAGCAAAGATATCGGCAGCGATCTCAGACCTCCAAGATCGCATGCCAGCTCCGCCCTTCTATTCTATTCCATATCTTATTGTTATTTTAACATTTTCTCAATAATTTTTCCCTTTCTTTAGTTTTCTCAATCTTACTTTTAATTATCTCATTCCTTTCTAAATTCAATTATATATATATCTTTTTCTAAGTTTCAATATCTTTCTAGTCATTATGTTTATACTTTTGTCTGTCCTGTTTCAATTTCATATTTTCTTTTCTCATTAAACAAATTTTTTCCCTGTAGTTACTAATTGGAGTATGACACCTTTGTATCTTTTAATTTTTATCCATTCAACTCTTATTTAAACTTCGATTTATGCCTTTACAATTATAACATTCAATATAACACATAACTTCCAGTCGAATTCTACTTGGTACGTTCTTAAAATATGCACTAAGTTCTTAAAGAGAAAATATATATATAACAATAATAAATAAAATACTTATTCTATTCCAATTCAACTCTATCATTAATGTTAGTTATAATCTTTGACATCTTTAACATTTCTTTTCAATAGGGTATAATACTTCTAGGAACACTTATAATACATATTTTTTTCATGTTTCTTTCATATTCCTCTTCACTTAAATTTTTATAACACATTTATATTAAAATGTTCCCCTCCTTTCCTAATTTCATTCTCTCATTCTCTTTATTTCATTTATTTATTAAACATTCCATTACATTACAATGAGTATTTTATCTATCATTTTAATCACACTTGTTTCATATTTTCATTTCTATTTCTAATATAACAATACTATCTTATGTACCCTTGCAGAATCCCCCTTTCAATTAAGTTTTCACCCATTATCTTTGTGTCTTCTAAATAGGCTTATACCCTTAATCCTTGTACGTTTTCCCTGTTTCTCTATGTCCTGTTTCTGTCCTTTATCATTTCTTTTGCTTTTCCTCTTCCCCCTCTTCTTCTCCCTTCCCTTTTTGACCCCTTCTCTCTCTAATTCTGATTCTCTCTTCTGTAATCCTCTCTTCTGTTTCTTCCTAATATTGTAATTACTTTTCAAACTATTCTTTTTTTGGATTGTTTTTTCAAATCTTAAATTTTTCACTTTCTTTCCCCCCTTTCCTTTCTTTTCCCCACATAGAAATACTTGGTCATTGAAGATGGCTTCTTCTTTGCCCTGCCCTTCTTGTTCTACAGGCATTTCTTGTTGTTTCTCATAGTTCAGGATCTCCATTTCTAAAAATTGAAATAAGCCAAAAGAACCTCTTCCTTCTTGTGTATCTTCTTTCTGCTTTTTAAGTTCCATTCTCAATTCTTCCAAGAGTGATACCATTTTTAAAACTTTTAAACAACCACCTGATTAATTTTAGTCCTTTAGATCCGATAACCAAAAATCCAAAAATCACCAAGTAATCCAAATAATCCAAAGCTGTTTCTTCTTGCTTCTTTTTTCCACTTTCTCTTCCTGGGGTTCTCTTATCTTGTTACAAAGTTTCAGTTAAAATGTATATTTTAGGAATCTTGTTAAAGTTTCACTATTAATTCCTTTCACTTCTAGGTGGTCTCCTCCATTTTTCCAGATCCCACCCTTTTGTTTTTTTCCTTCTTTTAAAAGTTTTTGAGAGTCCAGAAATCTTTATTATCCCTTTGACATTTTATTTTCAGCTTAAATACCTGTTAATGTCAAAGTGGATTTTTGCTGGTTTCTTGCTTAAATCTCTTAGTTGTCAATATAGGGAAGAAAAGAAAAAAAAAACCAAATCCTTTCCCTTCCCTCTCTCATTTGCCGCTTGAAAGTCTTCTTTGGGAATAATGTTGTTCTTTATAATTCAAATTCCAGGGTACCTTATATTGTTGCTTTTTCAGTTCGACCCAGTCAGCCAAAACTTTCTCTTCTTATCTTCCTCCTGCACATTCTTTTCCGGTCGAGTTCTTCTTTGAGGTGGCCATTTCTGACCACCGCTGCAACCGCTTTCGGGAAAGGAAGTAATGGCCAGCTGGGGAGGAGAGATGTGACTCTCCTCGACCCTGCTGGCAATCTCCCCCCTCTTCACCACCTCTATAGGGTAGCTTAGCCCCAAAACCAGCCGGCTCGGGGCGCTCCAGCGGCGAGCACAGATCGACACTGTGCACGATCGCAGATTTCGGTCTGTCGACGAAGAAGTTCAAACCAGAAGCCACTAATCTCCATTACTTTGAAGTGGTCCAAGTGCTAGGTGAGATTGTTCTAAGTTACCCAATCTCAGTTGTCAAATCCTTCTGTTCTACGGATATTGGAGGAGCTTCATGAGTGAAAGGAACTGAAAAGATGCCAGAACCAATGGTGATATAAATAAAAAATGACTGAAACCCAAATGGCCTTATTTGTCTACATAGTGACAATAAAAGCAATAAAACATTGTCCTATGCATTTTGTCAATGGAATCAACAGCCATGTTCAGCATAATCACTGGGGTTGTGGCAAGGAGACTTTTATTTATTTTTGTTCTAGCAGCAATTGGACAACAAATCTTTAGTAATTATAACTATTGCATTAATCAGCACACAATTGGATTACTACACTGCAAACTATACTAGGTTGCCTTTGGTAATGACTCAAAACTTAGAGCTGTTTCAGTGTAGCAAATGGTTGGAAACAGAACGCACTACTGTAGATTTTCACGTACTTTGTGGTCTCTTGGAGACCACCAGCCAGTTTTGGTGGCCAATTCAAAATTCAAAGTACTATTGACTATTAAGAGCTACCATGTTGTTAGGACACGTATGAGTCAGCCTTATTAAACACGATTTTTTTTTTAGTCTATATATCTAGAGAGCTTACCTGAAATTTTCCACTGCACCAAGACAAGGGATGTAAACCAAAAATTTATCTGACAGTCCACCCAAAGAGATTCTTTGTCCCTTCTCTTGTGATGCTTTGGAAATCACCAAGACTAAAAACAGTTCAATAGGCCCAGAATGAGGAATGATAAGAAACTATCTAGTTTGGAGCTTTGATTATTTTAATGTAGATGAGGGTGGTAGGATTTGGGTTAAATTTTGAGTGACAGACCACCTAATAATTAATACTAATAATTCTATGTCAGAAAATATATCTTTGTATGTAGGAGTGTGTCTGTAGACAAATAATTGTTGTTATAACATGCTAGCACCTTATATTTCCCCCATGCATGTGCAGAACTTGTTTTCATTTATGTAAGAAGGTTTCTTATTTCTGTACTATCATCAGGGTTGACTATAACCCTCAGAAAAGATGTGCAAGGAAGTTGATCAACTTGTCATTTCTGCAAAGTACCTGAAAAGAAAAAATAATTTCCTGTTTGTAAGTGAGATTAACTTCTACTCACAACGTTCAATATCCGACTTAATTCTTAAAAAGGTCTTGCCACTGTGATCATAATTTCTTGTAATAAAAAGCAAGACTTCTAGATTTCTAATCACCATTAGAACTTGTCTTTCCTCTGTTAGATTGTACGGGGAACCAGATACTGCACTGTACCTAGTTGCTTTGAAATAAGATTTGTGTAGCATAAAATAGAAAATGAAAGATTATTTATTCTCTGGAAAAGATTTGTTACATGAGTTTTTAGTTATGATCCCTTTATTGAAGAATAGTGAAAGCAAAGAAAATTGGAAGTGATAAGTTAATAAATCAAGTAAATTAATCTTCTCTAATTAATTTGACATTGTTTTGTGCTGCTGTATTACTCAGAGTCTTGAGATAATAAAAGTTTTATCCTACTATTGGACAGTTTGGGGAAAATTAATGTGTCTCAGTGCAGTTAGCTGACTTAGTGAATCTTCCAACTCTTCATTTCTATAGAATATTGTGATACTTTTTTTAATGAAGGGTTATTATTCTTGGCATTCTTGGTGTGCAGTTCAGAATTCAAATATTCTCAGGTGGTATAAACATCTTAAAAGGCCAATGCGTTTTTAAAAAACTGGTCATTAGGAATTAATGAATTTATATTGTAGGACAGTTATGGTTTTCATATAACAAGTTTTTAAACTGTTAATTGTCCTTATGACAAATTAATTTTGCTACATTTAAATGAACATAATTAGTTTATAACAAGAAAAGTTCCAGCAGCATATAAATAAATGCAATGAGTTAAAGAAAATTGTTTTATATGTAGTAAAAATGTGTTTCTGGGGCTTTATTGCATTTGTTATTTGAAACTATATTACAAGCAGAATAATCTCAAAATGAAAACCATTAAATTCTAGTTAGTTTGCAAAATGTTTAGCATATTATTGTTCCTGTTATTGTGCCTCTTTTTTAATGAAAGTTCTTGATTTTTTAAAAAAAATAACATACAATATAAATATTGATGGATTTTGACAGCCTGAAAAGATTCCACAAAAAGTATAAATCCTTGTACTTATGTACTTTTTACTTATGAAATTTATAGATTTTTTAAAATTTAACCACTCTAAACAGTTTACAAATATAATAAAATTAATAATTGTAAATAATAAAAAGAAAAACTACATGATTATTATTTGAAAAAGAATTCTCCATTGAGAAATACAAAGAAAGTGCTGCTAAATAGTCACAGATTATATTTGTTACTATTCATTTAAATCATAGGTTGAAAACTGTAGTAGAAGAACTGATTCAGACACAGCAGGCACTTCTAAATAAGGAGGAATTAGTTCTGGAATTAGAAAAGAAGATTGAAGAGTCTTCTAAGATCTATGAAAGAAAATCTGAGTGAGTAAAAATGGCAGACATGGAAGTGTATGATATATAAAATTAATTTTCTGAGTTATTCATATAATATTCTTGAGCAAAAATAAAATCCAGATGATATATTGTAACTTATTTGCTAAGGTCATGCTTCGTTGTACCCTCTTTGAAAGTCTAGAATTATTGACTATATTTAATAACTGATTTATAAGCTAATTTAAAACACTTTTTAAAAATTTTACAGTATGTCTAGCAATATTTTTCTTTATTTTTTTATTGTTTATTGAGTCTGTAATGGCATAATTTATTTCCTATCCCTTTGATTGAGTGTAATGATTCTAAACTGTGTATTTCTTTAATTCACTTATATGGAATTAAGGCAATTTGCATGGATTTCTTCTTTAAATTGTTATTTATTAACTTTTTCCTCTACATTAATTTTTAATGCAGCCTAAACAGATTCCTATTTTGTTCTTCCTTAGATTAGGCTCTACAAATAAAGCTTTTTTGGGGGGGAAAACAAGTTGACAATTAACAACCACTCAACTCCATCTAGTATTAATTCTTGTAAGACCTTAAATCTGCTAAAAATACATTATTTGTTATGGTCTTGAGAAATGAAATACATGCTTCCATTTTGCTTTTAGTATAATTTTGAAGCTGTTCTTTTCAGCATTGTGCTTCTGCTAAGCCAGAAGCAAGCCCTTGAAGAATTAAAGCAAACTGTTCAGCAGCTGAAATGCACTGAAGTCAAATTTGCAGCCCAGAAGGAACTTCTTCAACAAAAAGTGCAAGAAAATGATGGGAAAGAGCCCCCACCTGTTGTAAATTATGAGGAGGATGCCAGATCAGTCTCTTCCATGGTAAAATTTACACTTATTTAGTAAGTTAGGATACTGTTGCTAATGTTGCTTTAAATAAGAATTGTACTGTTTGTAACAAAGCAAATTATATACAGGTAGTTGTCGCTTAACAACATTAATTGAATTAGAATTAGTACAACAGGGTGGGGAAGGTGTGCCTTGGTACAAGTATGGCAATACTGAGCCTGGAGGGCTTGGTGTTGTGTGGGTAGTAAGCAGAGACCACACTTATCCTGCCACTCATGGGCTCCTCTCTTCCTCCTCCTCAGTAGAAAAAACAATGGGAACAACTTAACTGAGCAACTTAACAACCTTCTGCTGGCTTCCCAGGAAAGATTGCAAATGATAATCATGTCACTTCAGGATGCTGCAGCCACTGTAAATGAGAGCCGGTGGTCAAATGCCCAAATCGTAATCATGTGACCACAAGGACATTGCGGAGGCTGCAGCTTTGAGGATTGTCTTAAGTCTCCTTATTGAGTGCCATCATAACTTTTATTTCTGAACAAAATGGTTGGTAAGCTAGGACTACCTCTAGTACATTGTAAGGTATTCCTATTTTCCGACAGTTAATTGTAACAATATTTAAGACAAAACAGTGTTTATTGAGAATCTTGGGACTATTTTCATTGGCTTTAAAATGGATTCAGATGTACGGGTAACCTAAAATAAGTTGCTTAAGATTAATAAACTGATCCCAGCTAAACTATAATTGCTAAGTTCCTATGTTGAAAGTAGACATTGATTTGGTGCTATCAAAGTAATGTTGACTATTAGCAACCATATTGATGGACCTTTTCTAAGATGATTTGTCCCTACCCTGATCCTACACATCTGCCAATGGTGTACTGTAATATGTACTGTTGTAATCAAGTGCATCCATTTTGTTGCTGGTTGTTGTCTTTTCTCACAACTTTTCCAGCATTACTGACTTTTCCAAGAAGTGGATCTTCTTATAAAATATCCACAATATGATAATTTGAGCCTGATTGTTTGTGCCTGTGGTGAAAATTATTTCTTTTCTTTGCTGTCCATGATGTTCTCAAGAGCTCCTTCCCACAACAAAATGAAAACATCAATGCTCTTTCTATCCTGGAAAAGTAAAACAAATACATAGTACTTATTTGTTATATTCATACAATTATACATTTTGTCTCTACAGCAGGCAACAAATTTGAAAGAGATTAATTTTATCATTCATAAATTTGCTTCAAGTTATTTATTTTCGTGCCTTTGAGTTAGTCTTGACTCCTGGTGACTGCAAGGACAAGTCTGCAGTTTTCTTGGCAAGGTTTTTTGGACGTGGTTTGCCCTTGCTTGTTCATTTCCTTAGGTTAAGAAAGAGTCCAAGGTCACCCAGCTGACTAAGGCAGGACTGGAACTCCTGGTTTCTAGTCTGATACCTTAAGCACTACACCAAACTGGCTCCTTGGCTCGCTGCCTCGAATTACTGAATAGGATTTTTAAAAAAATACAAAGATTTTATGCTGGTCTTCAGAGAACTAAAAGTATTCTTATTTTGAAATCCTGATACCAAATCAAAATCATATATTTATTTTCAAGAGAGAATGTTATATATTTGGAGACATATCTTCATGAGAATATAATACTGTAAAAACTTCGCATGTAAATGAGAATTGGTCATTGTAAGAATTTCAGGATGCTGTGGTCTTCTGGATATTGTCTTATAACTACACTACTATATTTAGATATATAAATACTACTTCTTTCCTCTCTTGATCTGTGTACTCCATTTTTCAGACCTGGAATTATATTAATTCTTATGAAGATATACTGTCTTGGCTTACTTAGTATCTATGGTAGGAACTTTTGTTTGCAAAATAAATTAGATATAACACATTTTCTTTCTGTGTATATGTACACACAGTTTTCATTTGTAAAATAATAAAGATAAGCTTTCTTGTAAGCATATTTCCCCAAAACAACCTAATCATAGAAGCAATAAAACAGCTGAAATTATGAAAAAATCTGGTGCCTGAGATTTTATTCAATCTATGTGCCAACTTGTATTTTTTTAAAATGCAAATTCCAAATTCTAAGGTATTTATTTGTATAACATCTTTTATAAGGTAGAGGCTATATCAGGGCTCTGAGGTTATGCTTTATGGATAAGTAGACTTTTAAATATGACTTGTCAAAATAGTTTCATCTAATTCTATAGTACAAACCAATCTACCCATTATTTAGTATTGTTTCTTATCCATGGTATTGCCCATAAAACTCAAACACCTGAGCTGGCAAGAATTTAGTCCCTGAATTTGAGAGATAAATATTGAATACCTTTGAAAAGTACAGAAACAGTATTGACATAATCTATATTTCAATGTATGATAGGCAACAAAAGTAAAGACAACAAATCGCTGGTGTGCAATAAAGGTTTAATTTTTTTAAAATGTGAGAAAAAATAGACATCTTAGATAAAATTCCTCAAGTGGCAAATGTATATGTCTTGAGGTAGCTGATGGTCCCAGGAACCCTCTTTGTCTTTTGTAAAATATGTTGCATCTCCTCCTTTCCCACTGAGTTTGTTTCTTTCTTAGCTTTGATCAAGGACTTTAGAATACAGTCCTATTGTTTGATTATTCTCATTGCTGTTCCTGAAAAAGCTAGTTTTTGCACATCAAAGGATATGGCTTTAGCTCAAAGGAAAAACATGATTTCCTAAACCTAAAATTCTACCTAACAATGGTCACATCTTGACAATATTGTTTCCTCTTCTTTTGATGATTGAAAATGAAATATAAAACAGGTATTCATTAATTTTAAGCAAATTGTGTTCATTGAAACAGATTCATTTTCAAATTAATTTGCCATGTGTTGGGGCATGGGTTTAGATATGTTACCAGCAGACGTGTTCTCCAAATATAATGCAGATATGGCAATTATTTTTCTTCCTACTACAGTATTTTTTAAAAACCTCATAGCATAGATAGGAGAAAAAAGAAGAAAAATGTTGAACTAAGGTAGTATAGTTTCAGGAAGTTTCAAATGTAATCTTTTACATCATAATTCCATGATCACCATGTGGTACAGTAGCGATTTCTAGTGACACTTGTTTGCTTAGTGCTTTCTACTGACACTTGCTTTTGCTTTGTAAGATGGAGTTCCTCTCTCAATTAAAGAAACATTTTTTCAGAATTTGTACTACTAAGACTGTGTTTTTAAACAGCGTGCCTCATTCAGTTCAATTGAGTTTTTTTGCATAGCAGTTTTGCTATCAGTTTTTAACATATACTTTATTTTGTATTATTGTTCATATCTGTCTGAACTGAGGTCTTTAAAATAGTTGTTAATCAGTGTGTCCCCCCCTCTGTTTACTTTGTTGTTACCACACACTTCTCAAATTTAGAGCCCAATTCCTCTTTTTTTCTGTTAGGTTAATAGATAGTCATGGATACTAGCTATGTTGCTCAAGAGAGTTCAGTCTTGCCCTTTTTATATTTTAAGAAAAAAAATCGAGTTTAAAAATATAAATATTAAAAAAAAATGTCTATCATGAGGCAGACTGACAGGAATTCTTTAACATTCCATGCTGTAGCAATGGCAAGCTTTCATCTCTGCTGCAGTTAAGCTGAGGCAGCAAGCTTGTACCTTTTGCCTGGGACAGCAGGCGGGTAGTCTTTCCAGGCTTGAGGTGGTTTACTCGCTCTGGACCCCAGCGCCTCCTGTGCATAAAAGAGTGTCTTCCTCCAAAAAAGACTTAATTTCCTTCCTCCCAACGATAAAGGCTTAATTGTATTCTCTCCTCTTTCCAAAAATGGTTGTAATTAATACCTGTTCAGTTTAGCACTGCACAAAATCCATGATTGTTGTTAACTTTACAGGTGGTCCTCAAATTAATTTACAGTTGAGCCCATGTGACCATCTTGCTCAACTACCCCAATCCCTGCTTCGCTCCGTTATGGTCATTAAGTGGATGGAACAAAAGAACTGCTTGCCAATGAGGGGCAGGTATACCCCCTCTGCGTGTAGAAGAGGATAGTGGCACTGGGCTGGAGAAAAGAAGTCCAGATCTTCCTGCAGTTCCCATTCTCTCTGTGGGCAGAAGGGAACTCTGCCTCAAAATTCAAGCAGGATTTTGACACAGAGCATTTGAGCATTGGGTATTAGGTGTCAGCCCCTAGAAATGAAAGAGAGTTCTCTTGCTTCTTGGGGGCCGGCTGCAAACATCGCATGCTGCCAAAATCTTACTTGGATTCAGGACAGGCTTTTTTACTCGGCCTCTTTGAGAGCAGAAATGTTTGTTGGGAGAGAGGATCCCCCAACGAGGCAAAATCAATCCCTCAGGGTGTGCTTTTGTGCATTTCACACTCTCCCCAACCATACCATGCCTTTTGCATATTCTCTCATGTGCCTCCCCTGACCTTTGCCACACTTCCTGTGTACTTCTTGTGCACCCTCACTGTGCCTCCCCCATGCATTCCCTTATCCCCTCCCCATTTGGCAGCCACCACTTCCATGTTTGATCACCTTGTGCCAACATCCCCATTGACTTTGGTTGTGGGAAGCCAGCAGGATGTCATGTTGCTAACAACCATGGGATTTGGTTAATGAAGGTACCTGGGACTGCAAGATCCCAATTACTCTGGTAAGTTGAGGACTATATGTAAACACTAATATCTTGCAGGGTGGTAGAAAGAATATAATGGTACAGCTTTATAGGCAACTTTGAACATTAATGGAACTTGCCATTTAACATATCGTAACTGTCCAGATTTGCTGCAAAGAATAATGGGCATCAAAAATTGGTTCCATTGATGGAGCGATCTGACCTTATACCTTCTCCCATTGGATACAACCTTTTGCATGCCACCTTGAGCTCCTTGGAGGAGGTTTAGTTTCAGATAAAATAAATTTTGTGAAGAGTTTGAACTGACCTTTTCTCTTGTAAAATATTCAATGCAGTTAACATTTATTAACCTTCAGGGCAAAAGCTCTATAGGGAAAAGATTTTTTTATATTTTTACAACTCTTGCTCT